TCCGGGACCTGCCCTTGCCATGCTCCCCTCCCGTGTCCCAGGGACAATGGGGACACCACAAACACCATCAAATAATATCATCAAATATCAAATATCCCTTTGTGACTGCCATCAAACCCCTGCCATCCCACTGTACCTTCCTGCAGGTTTACACAAGAGATTTTCCCTCCCTGTCTCCTCGGCAATGTTTGCATTGCACCAGTCAAGAACCACCCACAGGTCATTAATTCTCCAAGCCCTGCAATCCAAACGAGCTCAAATAGGAAAGGTGAAAAAGGAAAAGTGATTTTTTCTGACGTCTGCTGTCCCTCTGTGCCCAGGTTTGGTGAGGCAGCTATTGACACAGCTTGTATTGATGGGAATATTGGAAATCACCGTGTTGAATTGGTTAACAATCTATTGAAACTTAGTTAATTGGTGGATAAGTGGTTAGTGGATATGTTTTATGTGTATAGTGTATAAACTTTTTTATTTTTAGATAGCTTATATATTTATATAGTCTATATATTTACATTCCATTTATGTATTCTATGTTATATATCTATTTATATTTATATATTAGTTTCTATTTTTATATATGTTTATATTTCGATAGTTTGTATATTTCTTTTACGGATTTTTTATGGGGTAGGCTTCTTGTTTTTATAGGTATGAACATTTTTTTTCAAATAAAAACTAGATTGTTATGTGAACTGATTCTTATTTTTATGATTTTTTTCAAGTTTTCCTAGTGCTGACACATTTATATTTGCTTAGAACGCCGAAAGGCCTTATACAGTATTAGTTTATTCCAAAAAGTTGATCTCTACAGAGCAAAAAATTAAAAACGTGATATTAAAATTGCGGCGGTGTGGTCGATGCTTTTACGACAGTACTGCCTTTCGCTTTGCGGCGGTGTGGCAGTCCCGTTTTACGACAGCGTGGCGCCTCGCTTTGCGGCGGTGCTGTAGCTCCGTTTTACGACGCGTGGCGCCTCGCTTTGCGGCGGTGCTGTAACCCCATTTTACGACGCGTGGCGCCTCGCTTTGCGGCGGTGCTGTAGCCCCCCTTTTACGACGCGTGGCGCCTCGCTTTGCGGCGGTGTTGTAGTCCCGTTTTACGACGCGGCGCGTCGCTTGGCGGCGGCCATGGCGGCGCGGTTCAGCGGGGTGCTGCAGCTCACGGACCTCGACGATTTCATCGCTCCCTCTCAGGTGGGGCCACGCCGGGGGTGACAGGGCTGGGGACTCCCGGGACAGCGGCTCACGGGGCTGCCAGGCCCTGCCCATGCCCCGGGAACCGCGGGGAGGGCACGGGCACGGCCCTGAGGGGAGGCGGGGGGTGCCACCCTCACGCTTGTCGCTGTCACTGTCCTTAGACGTCCTCCCGCTGCTCTCGGGGGTGGACAAATAGATAAACGTGAAAATGGGGCGCTGTCCCTTCCACCTAGAGCAGGACCAGGCCCTGACACTGTGGGGACATTGGGAACACTGTGGGGACACTATGGGGACACTATGGGGACACTGTGGTGTTACTGTGGGGTCAGTGTGGAGACACTATGGGGTCACTATGGGGTCACTATGGGGACACTATGGGGACACTGCGGGCACATCCCAAAATCCTGGAGCAGCAGCCGGGTCATGCCCAGCCCGGCTGGGATGTGGGATGTGAAATATGGGATATAGGATATGGGATATGGGATGTGAAATGTGGGATGTGCGATGTTCACCTGGAGCCTCCACAGGAAAAGTTGGAGCCTGTTCAGGTTTCCGTGGGTAGGAACAGTTCAGGAGGGCTCTGAGGCTTCAGGCACTGCAAAAATGTGAAATATTCATCGTGGATTTGCAGAGAAACACGACAGGAAAACCGAGCCGGGATGGGATGATGGGATGGGATAATGGGATGGGATAATGGGATGGGATAATGGGATGGGTGGGAAGGGAAATTGTTCCTTCTCCGTGTGGGCTTTGGGGTTGTGAGGCAATTCCTGAGCTCAGTAACTGAGCTCTGCTTTTGCGCTCCGAGTGAAGAAAATCAGAGTGAGTCTTCCAGGGCGAAAACACAAACTTCTCAAAGGAAAAAAAAAAAAAAAATTTAAAAAAAAAGGATAAAAGTCAGGAAAACCCTCGGGGTTTGTGCTGAGCAGCCGCTGCTTTGGAATTTTCTTACAGTGCTGCAGGAAACTGGGAGAAATCCCAACCTGCTCCGAGGGGGAGGCTCCGGAGCCTCTCCAGTGCTTTATTTTTTATTTCATCTCATCTATTTTTATTTAACCCCCTCTATTTATTTTTTATTTAATCCCTTCTATTTATTTCTTATTTAACCCCCTCTATTTTTTTAACTTCCTCTATTCATTTTTTAATTTAACCCCTCCATTCATTTTTTATTTAACCCCCTCTATTTTTTTTATTTAACCCCCTCTATTCATTTTTTATTTAGCCTCTCTATTCATTTGATATTTAACCCCCTCTATTTATTTTTTATTTAACCCTTCTATTCATTTTTTATTTAAACCCTTCTATTTATTTCTTATTTAACCCCCTCTATTTTTTTTATTTAACCCCCTCTATTCATTTTATATTCAGCCTCTCCATTCATTTTTTTATTTAACCCTTCTATTTTTTTATTTAATTCCCTCCATTCATTTTTTATTTTACCCCCTCCATTCATTTTTTTATTTAACCCCTCTATTTTTTTATTTAACCCCCTCCACTCATTTTTTAATTTAACCCCCACTATTCATTGTACATTTAACCCCTATCTTTATTTTTTATTTCATCCCCTCTTCCTTGCTCAGCTCCTCAATTCCAGGCTCTGCTGCTCTTTCAGGAATGCATCAAACCTGTAAAAGTGGACAAAAAACCTGGGAAATCAGCAGCCAAGATCAGAATTGAAGCTGATGGAAGCTATTTCCAGGTCAATCAGGTACGTGGGGATCTCCTGTTCAGTGCAAAAAAAACCCAAAAAAAACCAGAAAAATCAGTGTATTAATTATCTACATCCATTTAATGCCTCACAGAGATGCTGCCAGCGTTTTTGTATTTTGTTTTCTTTTTAATTTGGAATAAATCATTTCAATTTTGTGCCACTTTTATGCTGTGAGACGCTGGCATTAATTAGTGATTGTTAATGTAAGAGCAGATAAGTTGAGATTGTATTCAGCTTTAATTTGTCAGCATTTTAATTTCTAAATTCATTTCCAAGCCATTTTATAATCAGTAATTCCAATTTATTCCAGGTTTTTTTATGCTCTGAAACTCTGCCATTAATTGGTGATGATTTTCATAAGAGAGCAGACAAGATGAAAAGTTTCTTTATTTTTATCAATATTTAAAGATTGGCAATTCCAGGTTGGTTTTGAAAATGTCCTCGTGCTCACTCTGAGATTTAATCAAGATATTTTTATTAAATCCTGCTGGATTTTCTTAAAATAAGATTTGAATTGTTTGAAAAGAATATTTTTTTGAATTGTTTGAAAAGAAGATTTTTTTGAATTGTTTGAAAAGAAGATTTTTTTGAATTGTTTGAAAAGAATATTTTTTTGAATTGTTGTAAAAGCTTGAGGAATTCAGAAGCTTCCAAAATTCAGGCTGAGTTTTTCCTGTTTTCACCAAAAAAAAAAAAAAAAAATCTTGGCACTGCTCATTAACCAAGATGGGAATTCCTCTAGGAATGGAACTTGGAACTTGAAGCAGATTTTGATTTAAAAAAAAAAAATGAGAATACAGCACTTCCAAAAGAATTTAATTCCTTATTTTATAATTTTAATAGTGCCTCATTTCCTGGTCTATTCCTGCCTTTATTGAGGATGATTAGAGGAGAATCTCTTAGGAAAATCAAATTATTCAAGGCAGATAGAAGGGAAAATATTCCCTTCCAGTGTGTGTGGGATGAAATCCCTCAACAAATTCCCTTTTCTATAATAATCCCAAATTCACAGCAACCAACTTCAGGTGGATTTGTCCTCACTTTATTAAAAATAAAGAGATTTTTTTAAAAAAAAATTACAAACCAAGAGCATCAACATCATTTGCATTTGTACCAAAATATAAATTTTTTATTTGTACCAAAAATTCTGGGACCACAACTGAGCCTGCTCTGGGGTTTTTTGGTTTTATTTTTTTGGGTTTTTTTTTGTTTTTTGGGGGTTTTTTTGTTTTGTTTTTGGTGGTGGTGGTGGTGGCTTTTGGGGTTTTTTTGGGTTTTTTTTGGTTTTTTTTTGTTTGTTTGTTTGGGTTTTCTTGTTTGTGTTTGGGTTTTTTTGTTTTGTTTTGTTTTTTGGGTTTTTTGGGGTTTTTTTTATTTTGTGGGGGTTTTTTGATTTTTTTGTTTAGGTTTTCTTGTTTGTGTTTGGGTTTTTTTGTTTTGGTTTTTGGGGATTTTTTGGGTTTTTTTTTGTTTTTTGTGGGGTTTTTTGGGGGTTTTTTTTGGGTTTTTTTGTTTGTTTGTGTTTGGGTTTTTTTGTTTTGTTTTGTTTTTCGGGTTTTTTGGGGGTTTTTTGGTGTTTTTTTTGATTTTGTGTGGTTTTTTGGGTTTTTTTGGTTTTGTTTGTTTGGGTTTTCTTGTTTGTGTTTGGGTTTTTTTGTTTTGTTTTGTTTTTTGGGTTTTTTGGGGGTTTTTTTTTGGTGTTTCTTTGGTTTTTGTGGGTTTTTTTGGTTTTTTTTTGGTTTTTTTTATTTGTTTGGGTTTTCTTGTTTGTTTGTGTTTGGGTTTTTTGTTTTGGTTTGGTTTTTGGGGTTTTTTGGTGTTTTTTTTTATTTTGTGGGGTTTTTTTGTTTTTTTTTTTGTTTGTTTGGGTTTTCTTGTTTGTTTGTGTTTGGGTTTTTTGTTTTGTTTTTTGGGGGGGGGTTTTGGTGTTTTTTTTTGTTTTTTTATGGGGTTTTTTTGGGTTTTTTTGTTGATTTTTGGGGTTTTTTTTGTTTTTATGGGGTTTTTTGAGGTTTTTATGTTTTTTTATGGTTTTTTTTGTAGGATGGGGAAGCCCAAAAGCTGGAAAAAGCCAAAATTACCCTGAATGATTGCCTGGCCTGCAGTGGCTGCATCACCTCAGCTGAGAGTGTCCTGGTGAGGCAGCAAAGCCACGAGGAATTCTGCAAGGTGCTGGCTCTCAACAAGGTGGGTCCCACTCCTCCCTGGAGAGAAAAATAAAAAAAAAATAAAATAAAAGGGAAAAAATCCA